AAATTTGTATCCGCACACACATACATCCATTTTTTCTAAGGTATCCAAAATGTTCAAAAACCTTTGAAACGTAAAGGTATATAAATTTTTTTTCGATTTTTTTGCGATTACTATATCTTACCCTATGGAAAGTATTTTGAACTTACACTAATCGTTTTATGATATTATAAACAACTAGGTGTGAGTGGCATTTCCCTAAGACAAGTTGTATGAAACGAGCTTCCAAGGTGTATGTTCTTCCAAATTCCAATTCCAAAGTTTAATGAATTTATGAGACTTAAATAACTTTTTGTAGGCCTATAATATTTTAGTATGATGGTTCAAACAACATCACTGTATGTAATATCGTAATAATTACGAAGAAAAGGCCAGGCAGATCTTTGCTAAGACTTATACCTTTAGAACGATTTTTCAATTTTCAAAATTGGTTCAGAAGTTTTGGCTAAAATGTGGCTATTTTTTGCACTTAATTACTTAAAACTAATTCTAAAGAAACGGCTCGGCCGGTTATCAAAAAAAATTGAAATGATATAAAAAAATGAACAAAAAAATAATTCATTTTTATGCACATCTATATATATAAAAGAGGATCGCTTTATGTGCTAACACTTATAACTCACGAACGGCTGAACCGATTTAGATGAAAATTGGCAGGGAGGTAGTTTAGAGCCAGGAGAAGGACTTAGGATACTTTTTATCCCGATTTTCAGTTTAATTGATAGTATATTTATATATATATATATATAAAATACTAGCTAGCCCGGCCACGCGTTGCTGTGGCTCAGTAATTGGTGGCAGAGAGGTAGTTTAGAGCCCGTTTTTCATTCTAATTCAGAAATAATTATTTATAAACTATCCATGTAGTTTATTCAATCTATGATACTATATATAGAATGTACTGTTTAGAATATACCTTACTTAGCAAAACAACGTTTGCCGGGTCAGCTAGTTTTTTTATAATATTGCTTGCATATTAATTTGTAGTTTGATAATATCAGTTGAGTATTTTTGAATTTATTTATTTAATTAAATTGTTGAAAAAGTAAGGGGAGTGTAACAATTTTTTTAATATAACCGCGGGGTGGAGGTGCGGTGCAAAATAGGTTGGAAACCACTGTCTTGTCGAATTTTTACAAATGGTTTTTGAATTTTTGAAAACTTGCACAAGAGTATCAAATTGGTTCACATACATACACACACAAGTTTTCTTTTCAAATTTGGTCTCAAACAATTCAGAATGATTTGAAACGTCGAGAAAACACAATTATAGCTAATCGGATTTTTTCGGGAAAACAAAAAATTTTCCTTCAGGAAGTTAATAATAAATAAGTCCTTACTTTATTATTAATAATTAATATAAGTCCATCCATACTGTTACCATACATAATTACATTTCATTCACCATTCTCAAAAAAGTTGACCTTCAATGCTTCAAAAAGACCCAAATATTTTTGGCTTTATCTCTTATCGTGACTGATAATAAAATTCGGCAATTGTAAATATTCGATTTATCAATTAAACCGATGCACCTGCGATAAAAGAAAGCGTTATATAATTTGGTTATTGATCTATTACTGTTTTGGACAACTTGATATCAAGCAGCAGTAATATTGATACGATAATAGTAAAAATGTCGATATATTAATTAAAGTTTAATTATTAAACTAATGTACTAATGCGTTTGCGATAAAACAAAGCCATATATAAATTTTACTATTGAAATATTACTGTCTCGGACGACATGATATCGAGCAGCAGTAATATCAGTTTATATTAAAAAATGTCGATTCATTAATTAAAGTTTAATTATTAAACTAATGTACTAATGCATTTGTGATAAAACAAAGCTGTTCATAAATTTATATATTTTATTACTGTCTCGAACAACTTCATATCGAGCATTAATAATATCAGTTTATATTAAAAAAATATCGATTTATTAACTTCCCGTAGGGTAAGTTATAGTAATCGCAAAAAAATCGAAAATGAAAATTTTTATATATCTTTACGTTTCAGAGGTTTCTGAACATTTTGGCATACCTTAGAAAAAATGGATGTATGTGTGTGTGTGTGTGTGTATGTATGTATGTGTGTGTATGTATGTGCGGATACAAATTTTCGTCGACGATTTCGGGAACACGGATCAACCGATTTGAATAATTCAAAAAACATTCGATTTGTACTAATAAGGAGACGTGCTGATTAGTTTTTGGCGAAGTTAGGTCTAGTCGTTCCGAAGATACGGGGCAAAAAGTGCCGAAAACGGTAACTCAGTTTTTAAGAGAACGGAGCGTCCGATTTGAATAATTCAAAAAACATTTTACTTGTATTGGCAAGATGAAGAGTTGATCAAATTTTCATAAAGGCAGGTCTAGCGGTTTCGGAGATCTAATGAAAAAAGTAAAAAAAAATGCCATTCGGCGGTTAAAAATGATGATTAGACATATGCACATCAAATTATCAGATATTGTATAAAAATTTTAACAATAAGTATAATTTTTTTTTACATTTCTATGGGTTCCGTACCAATGTTTATGCGTTAGACGGCGGCGCGGCACTTGCGCTGTGACAATTCGTCTCTACAGTTCAAGCAGTACGATTGCTTTGAAAAAAGTTCAGAATTTCCAAAATATGTCAAAATGAAGAAAACATTTTTCTTTTCAAAAAAATAGTTTGTTTTCAAAAAAAAAATTTTTTTTTTCAAATAAAAATTATTTTTTCAAAAAAAAGTAATTTTTTGTCATATTCCTAGTTTCTCAAAAATCTAATTATTTCGAAGTAAATTTTTTTCAAAAATGTTAATCGTTTTTAAAAAAATAATAATTTTTGGTACGGGAAGTTCCAGCAATTTGCCTTAAGGCACGATGCCCTAATTGCCTTTAGACAGAATTCCACTTACAGCTAGTTAACTAAACTGTTGCACTAATGCATCTGCGATAAAACAAATCTTCATAACATTTTATTATATAGTTCTATTTCTATATCATTTTTCGTTATTGATCACTTCCCGTCTCGGACACCTTGATATCGAGCAGCAGTGATATCAGTTTATACTTGAAAATATCGATTTGTCAATTAAACTAATACAACTGTGATAAAAGAAATTGTCTAATATAATTTTAATAAAAGAAAGTGTGATAATCTTGGTTATTGATCTATTTGCGTCTTGGTCAACTTGAAATCGAGCAGCAGAAATATCAGTTTGTAGTTGAAAATATCCATTTATCAATTGAACTAATGCACTTGCCATAAAACAAAGCTTCATATACCTTTGGATATCGATATATTTCTGTAATGGACAACTTGATATCGAGCAGCAGCAATATCAGTTTATACTTGAAAATATCGATTTATCAATTAAACTAATGCACTAATACACCTGCGATAAAACAAAGCTTCATATACCTTTGGTTATTGATATATTTCTGTAACGGACAACTTGATATCGAGCAGTAATAATATCAGTTCATACTTAAAACTATCGATTTATCAATTAAACTAGTGTACTAATACACCTACGATAAAACAGTTTTTTTATAATTCTTATTATTAATCTATTTCTGTTTCGGACAACTTGATATCGAGCAGCAGTAATATCAGTTCATACTTAAAATATTTATAAGAATTATAGCGATAAGATAGATTTATGTAATGATGGTTATTGATCTATTCTCGTCTCGGACAACTTGAAATCGAGCAGCAGTAATATCAGTTTATACTTGAAGATATCGATTTATCAATTGAACCAATTTTGGTTATTGATTTATTTGCGTTTCGGGCAACTTGATATCGAGCAACAGTAATACCAATTTATACTTACAATGGTCGATTTATCAATTTGGTTATTGATCTATTTTCGTCTCGGACAACTTGATATGGAGCAGCAGTATCCATTCCATTATCAATTCATCTATTTATAAATTAAACTAACGCACTTACCATAAAACAAAGCTTTATACAATTTTAGTTATTAATCTATTCCCGTCTCGGATAACTTGGTATCGAGCAGCATTAATGTCAGCCGATCTTGGTCAAAAATTAATCAGCATATTCCCAAATGATGTATTTCGATTTTGGATTTTTGATAAACTATTTCAGTTTACAAAATTAGTTCAGGATTTTTAAAAATAAAAATTTTGGAATTTGGAATTATGAAAAAAAGCCTAGGCTGATCAACGCACAAAAGTGGTTAAATAAATTAAGTGAATTTTTGAAATCGGTGCAACTGTTTTCAAGAAAACGTCGACGAAAGGTCAAAAATCACCGTACACACATTTTTTTCTAATTTTGGCCTTAAGCGATCCAAAATGACTTGAATCAATCAAGAATTTAATAATATTTACATGAAAACTAGCAAACCGGGTGAACTTCGTTTCACCACCAGATGGTTTCATTTTGTGTAACATTTCGTTTGGTGATTAAAAGTTGAAGAAAAAAATTGCCTGCTGTTGAAATTGAATAAAAATTTGCACAATACACGTGATTGATTTGATGGTTTCCAATTTAAATGTTAGGAAACGACTAATTTATATTTTTTACTTTTTTTGCACAATTTCACAGTGAACACAATGCCGGTTTGTCACATGAAATTAACTGAGCAGAGAACAATGAGTAGCTGTCAAACAAATGAGCAGCAGTCAAACAAAAAATATTAGTTTGTAGTACATGCTAAGTATCAGAGATGACGCTGTATGTGAAAAAAGAAAAAATGTTTTCCGCTTTTCTGTTGAAATCTTTCTTCAATTTTATTTGCTATAAACCTCACGGAGCCCGAGACCTTTCCAACGAATGCAAAATCGTCGAAATCGTTGCGTACATTCTGGAGTTATATCGTCAGGAAGGAAAACCCGACTTATTTTTATATAATGGATAATATTTGTAATGATTACTAATGATTGCCCAATGAGGTGCACTTCGAAACATCTATCAAAACTTTTATTAAATAAAAACGCTACTATTATTTATTTCATATTTATTTACAAAAAACAACAAACTACCAATCAATCAATCTTTTGGCTCTTGACATTGCTTCTGCCCTTCCTGTCGCTCTTTTGGCCTTCTGCAGGATAAAAGATTTTCTTGAGTCCCAAAACGACCAAAAAGGCGCCTCCCAAAAACAGTCCGAGCCACACGAGCACCAAGTCCCACATGAAAAGTGTAGGGGCTCCCATAACTGCTGCCAGGGACTTCAGATGGGGGGCTCCTTTGTGCCTTAGTACGTATTCGCACCACCATGTCGCCTCTTGCAGCGGATGCATCGGGCGATCGCGGAAACGAGACGAACGCAGCGCCATCTTTTGGCGGTAACTGGAAACGAAAGAGGAAAAGGTGAATGAGCTTTTAAACCATCATTAGGTTTTTCTTGCTTTTGTATTCAGAACTTTGAGGTATCGAAATAAGTTTGAGGTTATGAGGTTTGGGATTGTTCAAGTATTACGTAAGCAGATTTATTATAATTATTTACCCCCCGCCCATCCCCCTTGTCAGCAAAAGTAAGGCAATCTCTTACCCCCTACCCCCATGCTTACGTAAACATTTTGCAATTAATGTAAAAAAATAAAAATACTATCTATGACGTAATCATCATCCAGACTCTCCTGCCCCCCATGTCAACCCAAAATAAGCAAATTTACAACCCCCCCGCCACCCTATAGTGCTTGTTGAACGGCCCCTTTGAGGCTTGATGTTAGAGGAAAAGAAATATATAGAGAGCAAAGGAGATGCGGTAATAGCGAGAGATAGAAAGGGAGAAAAAGATAATTTGATAGAGAAAGAAGAAAAAGTAAAAAGAAAGGGATTGGCGGGAGGATAGATTTTATAGAGAAAATGAGAAAGAAAGAAATTCTGAAAGAAAGGAAGATAATAATTAGATAAGTATAGATTCAGAGAAAGAAGGAAGAATGGAAAGGGAGGGATAGAGATAATTAGAGATTCGGAGAAAAAGAAAGATAAAGAGAGAAGGATATAGGATGATATGGAGAGATAGAGATGAAGTGATAGAGAAAGAAGGAAAAGTTAAAACACAGGCGGAGGGTCATAGATTAGAAAAAATAGATTAGAAGAAGATGACTTGATGGGGAAAGAATAAAAAGTAAAAAGAAAGGTATTAATTGGAGGATATTAGATAGAGAAAATGAGAAAGAGAAAAATTCAGAAAGAAAGAAAGACAATAATTAGGTAACTTTAGATTTAGAGGAAGAAGGAAGAATGGAAAAGGAGGGATAGGGATAATTAGGGATTCAGAGAAAAATAAATATAAAGAGAGAAGGAGATAGGGTGATATGGAGAGATAGAGATGAATTGACAGAGAAAGAAGGAAAAGTTAAGACAGGGGGGGGAGAGATTAGATAGAAAAAAGGAAAGAAAAAATAGAAGAAATGAGATAAATTTATAAAAAGAAACTGATAGAGATAATCTGAGAAAAGTAACTAGTCGTGTCATCTTCAGGATTGGACTTACCTCTCATCTTCAAGCATCTGTTTAACCTTTTGGTAAATATCATCCTCCGTCATCGTGAGCAGGTCCAATTTTTCAGCAACTCCTGCCTCAGTAGCCTTTTTGATATTCTAGAAAAGAAATAATAATTTATTGGTAAAATGAAAATTTATTAACTTCCCGTAGGGTAAGTTATTGTAATGGGCCGAAAATCGGAATTGAAAATTTTTACATTTCTCGACGTTTTGAAGGTTTCTGAACATTTTGGCATACTTCAGAAAAAATGGATGTGTTTATGTGTGTGTGTGTGTGTGTGTATGTATGTATGGATACAAATTTTCGCTCACGTTTTCGGGCGTACGGATCAACCGATTTGAATGGTTCAGAAAACATTCGATTCCTATCGATAGGGAAAAGAGCTGATTAGTTTTTGGAAAAGGCAGGTCCAGCCGTTTCGAGGATACAGAGCCAAGAGTGCAGAAAATAAAAATCGACTTTTTGAGAGAACGGAGTATCCGATTTGAATGATCCAAAAAACATTCAGTTCGTAATGACGGGGAAAAGTGGTTATTAGATTTTGGCAAAGGTAGGTTTTGGCGGTTTTGGAGATACAGAGCTAAATGTTAAAAAAATGGCAGAGAGAACTAGGCGTCCGATTTAAATGATTCAAAAAACTTTCTGCTTGTTTCAACAAAATAATTGCTTTTGGAAATTTCTCGAATATTTCATTACGGTACGGGAAGTTTCAGCAATTTGCTCCAAGGCACGATGCCATACACCACTAGTTTATTATACTTACTGCTCTCTGGTCGCCGAAAAAGGGGACTCCCAACATTGGTACTCCGTGCCAGGTTGCTTCTTGGGAGCTCAGAAGACCACCATGGGTTATGAATAGTTTCAAATTGGGATGAGCTGGGAATAACATTATTTGAGGTTATGGTTAGTTAGTATTTATGTTAGTATGGTTAGTTTTAAGGTTTTAAGGTTAGTCAATATTGAAAAAAGTGATAGTAGAGGTTATGTTCAGTAACTTTGACTGGAACTTTTAAGTTTTACTGAATGAATTTTAATGAATTTATTTATTCATAAGCAAGCTGTAATCAATAATATATATATATATATATATATATATATATATATATATATATATTATATCAGGCTTTTGTCAAGAAAAAATAGAATTTAACATTTATAGTTTTGTGGTTATGTTCAGTAAGTACCAATATAAGTTTAAGGTTATCTTCAGTCTTTTACCTAAAATGTCGTTTTGCGAAAACCATTTTTGCAGCATAATATTTTTAGGAACTTCCAAACCGTCCTCTTCGAACTTCCACAAAAAGTTGTATTCTGGTAGTCTTGCCAGAGCATTAACGAACATATCGATTCGGTGTTGCCCGATAACAGCGCTCCTGAGAGTCGAACCAATGCTGAAAAGCACTGCACCTTTCTTGCCAGATTCGATGAAATGTTTAATGGCCTAAAATGTAAAAAAATATGGAATTTTAGTCATATTTTGAACAGAAATTTATAACATTAGGATGAACTAGCTATCGTAAATAAAATAAAAGTATTTGAAACAAATAGAAAATAATGGCGTACTTTGAGGTTATGTCAGCACTTGATTAGTTTCTTATAATTGTTTTATACTTAGACTTATTTACGGACAACTTGCTTTATTACATTATAATTCGATAAGAGAGTAGTATGTAAACATAAATAAGAGAGTTTGAATAAGGAATGTTAGTTGTTTATTTTGAGGTTATGTCAACGGAAGTCCGTTACGCTCGAACTGTTCGTCATTCGCTCTCGATGAGATAATTTTTATACGCGTTGATATGATTGGTCGTCGTGTCGCGTGAGTATGATTGCTTTGATTGTATGCGTATACATTGCGTACAAATGAAAAATTAGTGCCGTGTAATAAACGTAAGTTTATCAAAATCATTTATATTATTTGTGGTTACTATGTATTTTTATAAATTATATTTATGAGCGAGACACATACTACAGCTGCTCAAAGAATGAGACTGTAACACCAGCGAAATAGTCAAAAAACGAACAGTCAAAGTTGTTATATGATGTATTAATTTTTAACTTAAATGCCATCTCGTACAATAGCAAAACAGTTTTACTTCGATTTTTTTTTTCACTCTCTTTTTTCTCACGATCGTTTCATCTTCAGCATAAAAAGCGACATCAGCGCCAATCTCATCCTGATGAATTTTATTATTTTTTTATGTTACGAGAAATGGATTCTATGGTTTGTCATTTGGAGGTTATGTTAACAATTATCTTACCTGTGGTACAGGTTTAGGTTCTTCGATGTGCATTCCACCAATTTCAATAATATTTGGTAATAATGGTTGAGGCAGGTCCATGGACGGATGAGTATTGACCATAACCAAACTTGCTTTACCTTCTACTTCTTCCAAATTTGGTAATTTTTCACCTATTAAATAAAAAATTTAAATTAATAATATTTATATTAATAAAAATAATATAAATAATTATTATTATTGATATTTATTTATTAATAATATATAAATATAAATAAAAAAATTATTGCTAATCTAGTACGACATTTTGAAATTTTACTCATTTGTGTGGGCGCACCCTTACTTAATTCGAGCTAATTCACATAGAGTTTTTATTAGGGTGCATTCACACTTAGAATTTATTTATATGTTTAGTTTTTGTCAACTTTATCATTTTTATATTAGCTTCCTTTTAGTGTTTGTTATTAATTTTCCATGTTTATCGACGTTTCTAGTTGTACTGAATCGTTTGACACCGAAATTGTAAAAAGTATCTGTGTGTGATTAATTTGAACTTTTGTCGACGTTTTTACTGAAATGATTTTTAAAATTTAAAATGATTATGATGATTAGTTGTGCACCACAATTGGCCGAGGTATTTCTTCATAATAAGTGCAAAAATTATAATTTTTTTTATCATTTCTGATGATGACTAAAATCTAAATCGTATTCATATTTCATCCTCACCATAAATCAGCTCTGCCCTCATCTGAGCCTCCTTCAACAGTGCCCTCCTGACCCTCCAGTCGTGCAAATAAAAGAACAAGTTTTTCGACCTCTCCCAAAAAGACATCACTTGTGGCAACTCCGTATTATAATAAGGCACCAACGATGCCAAAGGTGCACCTCCAACCAAACTATTCGTATTAGGCGGATTGGTAAAAGCTGTCAGTCCTACCAACGGCGGATAACCAAATCTATCCATTACCACACTCAACAACCCTGGAATTCCCGTATAATCGTAAAGGACCAAATCGAATTTGAAGTCTCGGGGGTAGTTTAAAAGACTCTGCAACCCCTTGGTCTGCATGGTGATACCGTCGCTGGTTCCGAAGACTCCGTTGATGTGGGTTATGCTGGTGTAAGTGGAATGTTTAGCAAATTCTATTAAATCGTAATTTTGGGTTGTTGCTAAGGTTTTGTAGACCTTTTCAAGTTGGATGTAGTGCAGGTTGGGGAATTTTTTGTTTGCGGGGTTGTCGGTCTGGATGCTGAGCGTTGTGACGTTGTAGCCGATGGTTGATAGTGTGGAGTAGAGGGCGCGGTTCCTGGAAACATAGATGATGAGGTAGACGTATTTTGGTATCATGTTAATAGATAATTATATCATTATAATTTGTTTGTTTTAAGAAATATTGGAAACATCAAAGTTTTTTGTAAGTGAATAAAATCTGACAGCTGTGAACTTGCACCCGGAACATGTGTACCAACATAACATGGTACAAGTATGCTATGTACTTGAATTAAAATGCCATTTATTGATGATTTGTTGAAAACAAACTATAAAAACATTAAATAATACTTTACTACTTAGGACTCAAAACTGCAATGAAGTTGCATTCATAGCATAGAAATCCTTTTACTGAATTTCGCCATTAGTTATATTTTGTTCAGATTTATTATTTGAAATTAAAAAGAATCTAATCTTACCATACATGATGACTTGGTGATGGAATTGGCATCAAACACAAAATATTTCCTTTGAATTCATTTTGTTCACTCAAACACACATGAAAAACACTCAAAAAGATAAATAAAATTTTAATAAAATCAAACTCCATTTTGAAAAAAAAACTAATTAAATTTTAATAAATAAATTATGTTGATTTTATCATTATATTGTAATGGATATGTATTTTACTAAACATTGTATTTATAACAAGCTTTTTTATCGAAATTTGTGTTATCATTTTTCTATACAAATTGTGTTTTATCTATTTTTTCGATAAGATTATGTTTTCGATATTTTTGATTTTGGAGGTTTATCGATTGCAGCATTTATGATAATTTGTTATTAATGCAAATATTTTAATTGATTGATGAAAAATTGATGTAAAAAAATCAGATTAAAGCAAACAATACTGATTGAGACATTTTGTAGATTACAATCGAAATGTTGCTTTTTTTCAAGACTCGAGTCTTAAGTATGATTTTGTTATAATTACAAGTTTTGCAATAATTTTAAATAGTAATAAAATGATGTATTTAATGAAAATTAGGTGTAAGCGTCATTTTGCCTTAAGGAAAGTTACGAAATTTTTTTGATGTATATAAAGTAAGAGGTATGCGCCCATTCAAATAATTAAATGAATATTATAAATATAACAGTCAGAATACAAACAACGCAGTAAGTGATTTACTCATTGCTACAACATTGTATACAAATTCGCAGTAACAACTAAGTCATCTATTGTCTTGCACTCTGCAATGACATTGAACAAGTCGTAAAATATTGTTATTCAGGAATGCAAAGTCACTTTGAAGGCAAGCTCGAAAAAAGATAGCAGTGACGCATTTGCCAGTTTTGCAATAATTTTAATCGTTAACAAAACAACGAATTCAATAAAAACTAAGTGCAAGCATCATTTTTTCTTAAGGGGGTATTCTACTGTAGAAGCATGAATTTTGCCCGGTTTTTGAAGCGCTGTATAAAAGAAACAAATAATATTTTTACTATCGATTTTTTATCATTTGTTTATTGATATTTTATAATTACATAAAAGAAATATTAAAGAAAAAAAATTAGAATTCACAAAGTTATGAGCAGTCAAAGTGGGGGCTCAAAAAAAAAGAGGGTGTCCTGGCGTGCATGATTCCAACCCTCCTGGTGATCCGAAACATAAAAAATAGATGGATTCTTAATTATTATAGATGCCGCTATCGTATGAACCTTGGATAAGTTAAACACAATTTTTTTGTTTGAATGGCGGCAGTGTGAAAAAAAAATTTTTGTTTTCATGTTTTTTTTAACAATTCCAATTTTTTTTAAAATACTAAATGAAAAGTTATAGTTTTGGGAAAGGTCCATGCGATGAAGCAATGTATAGAGAAGATCCTCTCCAAATTTGAAGTAAATTGGTTCATTAGAACTCGAGATATCCTTACCGCCAGCTCGAAAAAAGTAGTTCCGAGAAAAACGCGTTCAAAGTTTTGAGACTCGGTCGGACCCGAACCGAGGCCACGTCACTAAAACGGCTATAACTCAGGAAATAATAGGAATTTTGAAAAATCCTTTTAATGACATATTTTTGAATAACTAAGCTTTGAAAATATGAAAAAAAAAAATTTTCGTTTTTTTCAAAATTCTACAGTAGAATACCCCCTTAAGGAAAGTTACGAAATTGTTCTGGTGTATATAATGTAACTCCCATTCATATAATTAAATGAATATTATAAATATAACGGTCAGAATACAAACAACGCAGTTAGTGATTTACTCATTGCTATAACATTGTTATAGTGTTGATAAAATTTCTCTCCAAACCACCAAATACGCAGTAACATCTAAGTCATCTATTGTTTTGCACTCCGGAATGACATTGAACAAGTCGTAAAATATTGTTATCTAGGAATGCAAAGTCACTTTGAAGGTGAGCTTATAAAAGGGTTGCAATGACGCATTCCTAAGTTCAGTTGGAATTAAGTCTTTAGTCTAGCATGGGCCAGCCGTTTTATGAATTTTTATAAATGAACCTATTTTCGTAGGACTATAATATTTCAGAATGTTTGTTAAGACCATAAACTCTATTACTGTGCAAAAATTTCATTAAATCGTACAAATGACCCGGCCGATTTTTACTAAATACTAAACAACTTGTTTCTATCTGTTAGCTTTTCAACAGTTTTTAAATGTTCAAATTAGCTTCAGAATTTTTGGCGAAAACGTTGCCTCTTAAATTTTTGATATGGGTATTACAGAAACCTATACGAGAGGTGATATTTTTCAATTTTTTAATGTCAAACGATTGAGATTGACTTGAAACGTCGAGAAAACATAGATTGACGATCGCTAATTGTAATACAAATGATGTTATGCTGAAACTTTGATTACCAATGAATAATTTTACAATATAATTATTATTATTGCAGTAAACAAATTAAATAATAAAATACTTTAAGAAATTCTTAAACATTAAATTTATTGTCAAATGTCACATATAAATATTTCTATATTTTATAAATATTTTTGAATTTTATAATTGTACAAAGCGAAAGTGCTTTAAGCTTATAAAATCCTAGAGATTAGTAAGATAAGAGATCTTGAACAGAAAATTGACCACCAGTGAAATTGAAGCAAATTATTTCACTACATTTTAGGCGAAATGTAAGATAAGTGTAAAAGCTCAAAACTGAAAAGAAGACAAATTACAAGTGTATTTTTATTACTCTCCCAACAGAGGTCTCCCCATAGACATCCTCCACCACATAACTTCCGCCACGAAAACCAATCCAAAGATGGCGCAGCACAGCAGCCAACATCCAAAGATGAAACTCAACTCTTGCATCGTGTAGACAGCAATGTCATCATCGTCATTATTATCAGTTGTGTGTTTGGTGAATTTTAATTCCAACGAATTTAACAAGCTGGATTTGAATTTCAGGAGAAGGCCACTTTCGCGGATTCTCATCAGAATTTCGTCGAATCTGTCCTTGTAGGGGCTCACTAGGGGAATCATGTGGGCTGCGAATCTGTTGGGAGGACCTGGGTAAAGGACACATACATGTTATTTAGTTTTGGTGAATTATATTATTTATTCTAGAAAGTTTTATTTTACCTTGGTCCATGACGTGCACGAATTTCTTTTGCTCCTCGATTAATCGCACCTGATAAAAGCGGCACATCCATCTCGTGAACAACATTGCTGAGTCCTAAGGTGCAAGTATTAGATTGGATTAGTAGCTAATGTATAATTTTTGGTTTGATATTTGAACAACTAAATATTCCTGACAATTTTCAAACTTACCCTATTAAATACAACTCTTTTCATCCCCTGTTCAGGATTGGCCACAATGTCTATTTCTCATAAAGCTTTTTATAAACCATAGGAGCGCCTTCAGCCAATGCAATGTCTTCCAAAATATCTTTGTAAACGCCCCAATAGTCACAATTCTCAAATCACTATCAGCCAACTCCTCCAAACTTTTATAATCATTTGAAATCTCACTGCTCATCAAATGTTCTACCATGGTGGCTTGGTAACTCAAACTGTTGATCATGGAGTAGAAGATCCATCCTCCAAAAATGCACCTTTCGAAGTTCAAATTACGAGGATTTCTGGATACCATTAAAGAAACTCCAAATATCATCAAACTTATTTCGAAGTAGGACAATTTCTGAATCTTCTTGGCTCTGAATTTGATAAACACAAGTTGTAGGATGTACCAGATGATTACCAGTAAAAAGAATGTTATCCCGAAACAGATACTGACTTCTAAATCGAAAATTTGAGGAACGATATAGCGATTGCTGGTTCCGTTTTAGGTGTCAGAAAACTGAAACCGATTTCGGTTACTGGAAAGAGAAAGTCAGAGTTTACTTGGCCGTAATCATTTATGGACGCAAGTTTCCTAATATGTCAGCTAAGTTCTTCTCCACTTCTGTAGTGTCAGTCGAGCTACCATTTCTGAAATGGTGCCAAAATCTTTACCATCTTTAGGCGAGTAGTAAAATGGTTCAAATTAACAGTTTCAACCAAAATATTATCAATTCACCATCGCTTAAGGCGTATTTTTTTATGGTGTCGTTAATGATGATGTCGGTGCTACAGTTGCTGGGTATTCATAAATACAGATTTTAAAGGATATTGTGGACGTTTTTCATACGTCGACGCAAGGTGTTGTAGAAATCTGAAGTGAAGGATGATGAGTCAGTTATGGATTCATTGAAGATGCGACCTCTAACGTTATTTTGGAGGAGAAAGGGGTTGTAGAAGGAGATATAAAACATAGAATCATTTGTATGACCACGCTGAAGTTCTTCTTCCATAGTGAAAGCTTCATTTGTATCCTCAGGGTCCTTTTCATTTCCAATATCCTGGTCACAAGTTATCATGTCCAAAAAACTTCTTCTGGTACATCCAAATTTAACATCGCTTGCTGATAATCAAATATTCCTTGAACATTTGCCCTCATTTCTAGTATTTTTTTCTACGTTTGGCAAATTTCTTTCATCATCTTGTAACCTCGGCACTAATCTTCTATCTCCATGTTCATCCATTTTTAATGCAGACAGTTTCAGTCTTCGATCACTATCACCCAATTCTTCCTAATGGCATTTGATATCCTCTACTTTGCCTTACAATCTGCCCA